GGTGCAAAAAGTTACTACCATCCAAATCCTAAGATGCGTTAAGTAGTAAAAGTTAAGGACCGCGTCCTCAAGCAGTAGGAATGCAGAAAGAAAAAGGAGTCCCAGAACCTAAGAAGAGTCCTAGGACATCTGGGGATATCTGACAGAAAGAGGACCAAGAATGCAGGTCTGGAACCTGTCTCCTTAAAGGACCCAGCTGCCGATTTCTCACCTATGTCTTTCAGTGGCTCCACCACCTCCCACTTTGGCTCTGATCGGAAGAACATGGAGACCTGTTGTAAGGCAATCTCTGCAAAGACATGTGGAAACTCATTAGGAAAAGGGCCATATGCTCCAGATATTATTCTCACAAATGAAAAAATTACAAAAAGAACACGAAGAAGAAGGGGAGGAGGAGGAGGAAGAAGAGGACAACTAAAAGCAATGTGGGATTTTAGACTGGACCCTGAAACAGCCAAAGCACATTAGTGGAAATACGGTGAAATCTGTGTAACACATGTGTTTAACAGCAATAAGAGAGCTGGGCTCAGTGGTGTATGCCTGTAATCCCAGCGGCTCGGGAGGCTAAGGCAAGAGGATGACAARTTTGAAGCCAGCCTCAGCAACTTATTGAGGCCCTGAGCAACTCAGTGAGACMCTGTTCCAAATAAAAAATAAGTAAAAAAGGGCTGGGAATGTGGCTCAGTGGTTAAGTGCCCCCGAGTTAAATCCTCACTATAAAAAAAAAGTAATATGATAATATTAATATATTCTGACAAGTGTGTCATCAGATATTAACATTAAAGGACAGGTATAAAGGGAAACTCTTTGTAATACCATTGCAACATCTCTGTAAATCTAAACTCATTCCCAAGTTAAAAGTTTATCAAGCAGAAAAAAAATGTAATTATTAATGATATAAAAAAATAAATGTGTATATATTTTTTAACTGGAAAATCTAAAACATGTGAACTAGGTGACCTAAACCCTGAATTTGATATATGCCCCAGACCACAACCAAAGCACAAGACTCAAAACACATTCTAAGGTCAGACTGGAACAGCACTGAATGTTGTTCCAAGTGATATTTATCCCGTCTTCATTCCTCATGGAATTATAGCTTTCACCAACAAAGAAGTGATTAGCCTTAAATAAATACTGGAAATAAAAGCCAGTGTTTTAGAAAAACATCTATGTTCAGTAACAACATGGTTCTATTGTGGGAAGTCACTGAGTGCCTGTTTACGGGAAAATTAAAAAAAAAAAAAATCCATCCTTTCTCCCCTCCTCTGGTGTTCACTTATCATGACAATGTTTTCCCCCCTTGAAGAAGACAATGAGAACAGGAAGTTCTTTAAAGTCCACTGTATTAAGAAACCATCAGAATAACTGCTTTTTACATTTCCTGCAAAAAAGCAACATCTGTAAGTTGCCATTTCCTCTCAATGCAGGGAGTAAATGAAAGTAGTCCAGATCCCTGAAAGCTAATAGCCATTATCTCAATGCACCGTGGAATTCCACCTCTGCCGAGCACTAAACTAACTGCCTTCCAAGGAGACTGGTGAGGCCTGAGGGATTCGCCAGAAATACTCTCCATATGTCAAAATGACCCGGTCTCCAATTATGCAGAGAGCTTGACCAACAGCATTCTACTGATATGTTTTACTGTACATTATGAGTTAAGAGAGACAGGGAAGAAAACAATTTCCTAGCTATTTGTTTATTAACTCAATATGTAAAGTGTCAATGACATCCACTCAGAAGAAAACACAGGGTGCCCAAATCAAAATTGGCTCGATTTACATTTGTTGTAACTACCCCAATGCACAATGAACCATTTACAAGCAGAAGCATATAAATTTTTATTATCAACTCTGGGAACCTTGCACCTTTTCTATAATTAATGTTGCTATAAAGTGTTTTTAGTATTTCCAAAATAACTTGCAAATAAGCAAGCTTAAAAGGAAATTAAGTGAAAATTATTCATATCAACTTTGAGAAGGATCATGAGAAATAATTTTCCAACAYAGTACCATGTCATCCCAAAGACTGGAAAGGACAGTTGTGCAAAGCTAACAGTGACTCATAACTCCCTATAACATCATTAGTCAACAATATTTATTTATGCTACTGCATACTATATGTTGTTTAAGGAGTGGAGACATAGCCGGGAACAAATAGAACATGCTGGATTTGTTAATCATAAATTAAGGACTAGGGAACAGATTCTCTCTTTACCTTAGGAGCAGAAAGGATACTTTCCTCCCACTGAACTGTGATGTATTGTYCAATAAACCCCATGGCTACCATGCTCCCAATCTTAACACCTTCTCTCCCCAGATTCAGGCAACATGTTTCAATCCTAAATAGCACTCCTCTGTTTAGAAGCCTTTACTGGCCCCCACTTCCTTACCAAATCCAGACCAAGCTGCTGAACATCGTGTTCAGCCTGCCTCTGGCTTACCTCATCTTTCTGGTCTTTTCCCCCACTATGTTCGGGGTCTCCTACTCTGCACCCTGAGGTCTGCCTCCTGTGGCCACTAAAGGCTGGCCTTCCCCTGGTGCCTCCCCATTTTTTACCTGACCCATCTATTCCTCAAGGCTCAGCTCAAATTTGCTGTCCCTAGCCAGGACTTGCTGCATGCTCCCAGTGCGCTCTCTGTCCCTTTCTTATGGAATTATCCATAGTCTGTCCTATATTAGGGTGACTCTCTTCCACCAGACTGTAAACTGGCTGGAAGGGACCTCTTAATCTGGGTAAAATCCAGAGCCATTTACTACTTCTCTTCCCCTTGGGGGGCTCTGCCTGAAGCAGCGGCCCCTGCCTCTCAGCCTGGCTAGCTTCCATTAGCCCTCAGGTCTCACTGCAGGTAACAGCTGCTCTGGAAAGCCCCCTTCCATCACCAGGTCTGGACTGTCTGCCCTCCCAACCTTCACCCCATCCTTCCCTCAAGGTGCTGCCCAGTGTTCACCTGCCAAGATCTTCACCTGTCAATCTCCCTATGTAAGTGCCTTGGGTTTGTGGGTGAGTGTAGGTGGAGGGACTACTCCTTTCTCCTTGCTGAATGCTTAGCACCTGGCATATAATAGGTGCTCAGTAAGTAGTTGATGACATACAAATAATGGTTCATTATATGGTTGATAGATGTGAACCATTAGGACATGAAACCCATGGAAAGGAAGGCATCTGTCCTCTATTTCCTTAGTACTGACATGTGGGAAGCCACATGCTCACTGAGTGCTGATGAACAAGCCCAATATAGGAAATGCAGAGCCAGACCTCTGAGTCTATCCTGGGCTTCCCATGAAGCTCAGATGTACCAGGTGCCCCCACTGTGTGCAGTCTTTGAACTCCTAGATCCAGCCCTGTGGGATGACTGCAGGGAACAAACACGAGCTCTTCTAGCCCTGCAACTGAGCTTCAAATCTCCAGTCTACCAGGCCAGCAGTGTCATGTCTCAGAGAAGCTTGTGGCCTCTCCCAGACGCCCTGCTTTTGTCCTGAACATCATAGCCCAGTCCCAGCCCCCACTTCTTGTACCCTCCTATTCAAGGGATTCCTGGGGTCTTAGGACTGGACGGACTTCAGCGCTGCCTGCCCTMCTCAGGCCTGTAGTTTTGCAGGTCAGGATCCAGAGCACAGAGAGGGGAAATGCTGCCCACAACAAAAGTGGCCCCGGGGCCCAGGCCTCCTGATTTCTGGTTCAAGTGACTCTTACGTGGACATTAAAACCTTTTCTGGGGGCTGAGGATGTAGCTCAGGGGTATGGCACTTGCCTAGCATGCACAAGGCCATGAGCTCAATCACCAGCATCATTAAAAAAAGCAGCAGCATCTCTTATTGTGAGGAGATGTGCAGGTTTGAGATGGGAAGATGGCTACAGCTCAGAGGCTTCTAAATGACAGAAGGGGCTTGTCAACAAGATAGATACGAGCACGCGTGTGTGCGTGTGTGTGTGTGTGTGTGTGTTCTCAACACAAACTCCTCAGGTCTAGGAGACACCTCTCTTGTACAACAGCTGGCCCAAGCACCTGACAACCCTCCCATGGATTATTAAGGGCCTACAGTTCCCTTCTGTGGATGTGGTCATTTGGAAAAAGCCGGAAAAGAAAGAAAGTCCCACAATCCCAGGCTGGGGACTCCAGGAGGACGTGAAGCAGCTGCTGGGGTCCTGAGAGCTCCTGAGGAGCCATCCTGGGGAGCTGGGKGGGCAGCACAGTCCCCTCTAACAAGGCACTCTCACCCCAGGCAGAGCACTGAACAGGAAGAGCGGCCATGTGGGTCTTTCCACCACTTGAACACATAACTCAAATCCTGCTGCAGTGAAGTTGGGTGGGTCCACGGACCATTAGAAAACTGAGGAGAGACAGGGCCATTATCCACACTCAGGGGGAGAAGCGGCCCTGAATAGAGAAGTGCCACTGTCGGGTGGCGTGCTCTGTGCCCTCTGGGAACCACGTGAGACCGTGTATTTCAGGAATGGCTCCATGGAGCTGGCGTGGGCTTCCTTTTCCTGGTGCCGTTGGTGAGTCAGCCTAGAGCCAAGACAAGTTCTGACATTTCATTCAAAGGTGGAAATAAATCACCATCTTTCTGAAAACAGCACCCCTCACCTATTGCTTCATTATAGGACTCTGCCCTCTATGAAGCAGCTGGACTCTTGAGCTTTTGGATTCTGGTAGGAGTTTCTGGTGGCCTTTTACACCCCTGCCCACATCTGCTTTGAACCCTGACCATCTACTCTGCTGTGGTGTTGGGAAAGATGAAGAACAGTGTCAGCATGTGGGGGAGGTTCAGTACAAGGAGAAACCGAGATCAAACAACCTTCCAGAAGCTAAATAGAATTTTAACTTGAAAAAATTCAGATCAGACTTAGTCACACAAATGTACAAGACTGGATCAGGCCGTCCCTCTCTGGTGACCTTAGTTTCCTCATCTATAAATAAAAAGATTAGTCTTGGTGCAACAGCTCTGGGATTCCTGCTGGCACAGCCCCCCTGCGACTCAATGTCCCTGTGGAACGAGCCCCCTGAGAGCAGAGAGTGCGCCTGCCTCACACCTGCCTCCTGACACTCGGCTGATACCTGTGGGCTGCAGGGGCTGAATGGCTTCTTTACATGTGTGCTACACCTTGATGCCTGCCTGCAGGACAAGAGCCACAGACACTCAGGAAGTGATGCAGACAAACACACACAGGACAGAGTTGGGGCTGATTTGATRAGCCAATCTAGATGACCGGCTGACCATGTCTGGAACTATTGAGGTGCAGTGTGGAGAAATGAAAGCTGCAAATGATGCTACTCTGACAGAACTGGAGCTGTCTTGAGAGCCCCAGTCCTACTTGTGATGTCTTTTCTCCTCTGTGTGTGCAGGGAGAAGAAGGGAATCCTTATAACAACCCAACGCACAATTTTGTAAGTTATAGTAAATATGAGTTTGAAATAAACTTTCCTTCTCTTGGTTATTTGAAAAGGCATTTTCCTTAGCCGTGTATAGCACTTCAACTGGAAGATGGCAAGCCTTTTCTAGAGCAAGATGTCTCCCACTTTAATGTGCGCGCAGTGTACCTGAGGACCTGTTCAAGGCAGATTCTGAATCAGCAGGTCTGGGATGGGGCCTGAATTCTGCACTTTTGACAAGCCCGCGTGGTGCTGATGCGGTCAGGGTGGCCAGAGAACCACACTTTGAGTAGCCAGCCTCAAGGGCTGTGGTTTTCCAACCAGGCTGGGTCCTGGAATCACTCAGACAGCTCTATAAACCACGAGCCCCACCCGCAGGGACTGCAATTTCATTGGCAAGCATGCGGCCTGGGCACTGGAACTTTTTAAAGCCCCCAAGTGATTCCACTACACAGAAGAGTTTGGTGCCCAAGAAATAAGCCTCAATTCCCCCACTCTGAAATAGGAATAAAAAGTGCCTCCCTCTAATTATTTTTAAAGCAATGTTTTGAAGACCCAATAATCTGACAAAAATCTATTCTTTTAGCAAGGAAATTAACAATACCCAGAGTTCCACACAGAAAGCTTCTAAGCAGGGCTCGGCTTTAATCAATCAGTTGAATTTGGCTCATGGGCTCAGGTCTGCAATGGTCTTTACTGGTCCTTTAAGTCCACACTAGAATGTACTTAATATCTTGTTCCTCCTTCCATTGGCATCAGGCTTGGGCTATTGATGCTGCTTTGTGTGTAATCAGTATTGGAAGAGAAGCCATTTCAACTCAGACCCCTAGTAACATCCTGATTCAGGTACCCTCTATGCTTTGCACTGGAGGGGCTCAGGAGCATGGAAAAAAAAAAGGACCCTTCTGAATCATTGCTGTATTTAAAATAAATGCCTGGAAAATACAGATACACAATGTATTGTAAATATAAAAACAGAGCCAAACTGCACGTGGTGGCATATACTTGGGATCCCAGTGGCTCAGGAGGCTGAGGCAGGAGGATCAAGAATTCAAAGTAAACCTCAGCAATTTGGCGAGGCCAAAAGAAACTCAGTGAGACCCTATGTCTAAATAAAATACAAAATAGGACTAGGTATGTGGCTCAGTGACTAAGCATCCCTGGGATCAACCCTTAGTACCTGAAAAAAAAACAGAGCCAAATACCAAAAGAAATTGAAATTACTGTGTACATCACTGTGGATTATATACTCTCTGTTCTGTCAGAAAAGATAATAAAGATTGTGAGTACTAGACATGACAATTTCTCTTCCCTACTTTTCTGTGCAAACATTATGAACATTTTACAAGTAAATAAAGTTCTTATAAATCTAAATTATAATCAAGTAAGTCTTTGTAAATAAATAATACCTTATTACAAATGTGCACATTTCCCTGTTTAGAAGTACAGTTTCCCCCATATTCATTACCTCTTTCTAAGAACAGTGCCCAGAGTGACCACAGCGGACAGACCCCTTGGCTTACCAGTGTAGTTTGCAGAATAGTTGTTTGGATCTAGAAACTTCTTAACCAGTTCACAATTAGACAAAATATGATTTGTGGTGATAACATTGAGATAGTTCTGAAGACCTTTCTGCCTCTCAGCTATGAATTCACGATCCATGTTGCCAATCAATTTTTTGGGAGGAAGAGGTAGACTTAGTCCTGCAATCTTAAAAAGGAAAATAAAAAGGTATTATACTTATGTCATCCACTAGTAAGATTCAATATTAGAATCCTAAGCCATCATATTTCATTAAATTTCAGATAACATAGATTTTAAGATGCATCCTAATTTTAGTGGTATTATAAAAATGGGGGAAAAAACTATGTATCTTGGAACTGATAAAATTATGTATGAAGTACAGTAACTTTAAAATTTTAAAAGGGCTGGGGATGAAGCTCAATGGTAGAGTATTTGCCTAACATGTGTGAGGCCCTAGGTTCAATCTCTAGCACACCACAATTAAGTAATTAATAAGTTAATAAATTAACTAGTAAAAAATTAACCAAAGCTATACATAAACATAATGCAAAGAACCAATAATTTTTTAAAAATTATTACTGGCAGTTCTGTGGTACTTTGTCTCCCACTCTCTCTGCCACCAGGTGAAATCCCTTCTCCACTACCCTGAAACAGCCACATTCAATTCTTTCTGCAAATCTTTTGGCAGTGGGGAATGCTCATATTGCTCGGTCTTCTATGTCTTGACTTCTCATTTTTTGGAAATTTCTGTACCTTCCCATTATGGAAAAATTAAGATTTAGTTCTTTTTCACAATTCTTACCTTACTCCACACACATCCAATCCCCATCTGTACATATGTGGTTATAATTTTAGTGTATCATTATCATATTTACATTAGGTAAATTATATTCATAATAGTTATATTCATAACAATTGCTAAACCTTTTGGGGGTTCTGTGATGTAAAATGAGACCTTTTAAAATTATCTGCTTCCCATCTCAAAATTGTGCCTTCCCCATCTGCTTCATGAGTGAGCTCTCAGCTATTGGATTTTCGGCCTAAAATATTTTGTTGTGGTTTTCTTCTCTGTTATTATATTTGTCCTTGAGATGGTGTGTGTGTGTGTGTGTGTGTGTGTGTGTGTGTGTGTGTGTTTATAAAACCAATTGACTATTGTCTAGAGTGGTTTGGTGAGGAAAGAAAAGTAAATGCAGGTGCTCAACCTACTATCATTTTCCAGATCATTTAAAATGTTGAGTCTATTTTTCAAACTTAAAAAACAAAGTATCGAATTGGCATTTTAATTCGGGGAGCAAAGTCACTTTCAAAGAGTGKCGCATTCAACGTGAGTGCTTAGATCAGAGCCACGTGGTGTGCATTATTGATGGAGGGTCTGGAGGGCACCTTGAATTCAGAAAAGTAAGTCATCTGGACCACTAGTGTGGACCAGCCTAACTGCGACTGTGCCACTCTACAGTTTTCAAATAATGATGCTGCCAGATGAAGAGCCTAAAGTTGATACTGGATGAGATGAAAAGGCTGGCTGATTGCCTATTTCTCCAACGTAATTATGAGAATACATCAGAGCACAATTAGAATGAATTTTCTATTGTGGCACAATTTATTGCCAGAGAACAAACTTATCAGTTTTAGGGTGGTTTCCTCTTTAACACAATTAGCCTTTATTGAATGACAGCTTCTTTATTAGCTAAATAAAAATGCATCCTCATCCAGCTATCACACATCCAAGGCTCATCACTTCATTTTATTTTCATCAGGGACATGAAGTTTTAACCAAGGGTAATACATAACCCAAACGTAACAGATGTTTCCTCTTACATAGCTATTCTATGAAATTGCAGGATATAATCTTATTTTGAGTGTGTGTGCGCATGTGTATAAGCCCACAGATAAGTTTATATAGGCACAAAAATTGTCTGGCAGGATTCACACGGTGACTTAACAATAGCTACMTTTTGGAGCAAGTCATTTTTTTTTTCAGATAACTACATAAATAACATTTTTATTCATCTTTCAGAGATAATCTTTTAGCTAAGAAAATTATGCAAAACAATGAAAAATAACTATGATTTTTGCTTGAAAAAGTCTATCCTGTTTGCTTGCTAATACAGTTATTAACTGCAGTACACGGAAGTCCCAGGACACACCACTAACACACAGGCCTTCTTTATGTGCTTGAGGAAGACATGGGAGTATTTGTGGACTTTCCCAATCTCTGTTAAGCTAGCTTTTGCAGTGAATGACTTGGAGAATACAGCCCAAAAAGCTGCTGAGCCTCTTTTTCTTCCAACTCCCTACTTATCTCTTCAAAATTCCCTTTGTGGCAACAAACGCTCCCGGGGGTCTGTCCCTGCTGAGAGTGGCCTTCCTCAGTGGAGAGAGCGCCACTCTCTCTGTCCACTCCTTCAGCTTAAGCTCTCTCCTTGAGCTTTTGTCTCCATCCTCTTTCTTTTTCTTATTTGCCTTGTTTTCTAGGTTAAAATGAGCAATCTCATCACTTTTCTCTGTGATACACTTTAGCAGTGAATGACTCCTCCTGGCTGAGAGCTTCCCATCCTCAGTGTTAACTGTGCCTCTTTCCCCAATGCTGCTGCTCCTTGGCCTGGCTTCCTCCTCCATCACACAGTCAGACCCAGGAAGGCGCAAGAGGGCAGAAAGAGGTGGCTGCATCTGGGAGTGGTGGTGCATGCCTGTAATCCCAGCTGCTCAGGAGGCTGAGGCAGGAGGATCACAAGTTCCATGTCAGCCTCAGCAACTTAGTGAGACTCTAGGCAACTTGGCAAGACCCTGTTTCTAAAAAAAAAAAAAAAAAAAAAAAAAAGATATATATATATATTGAAAGGGCTAGGGATGTGGCTCAGTGGTTATGCATCTATGGGTCAATCCCTGGTGGGGGGGAGGAGGTGGGGGGGGGAGTTGGGGGGGCGGGTGGCTGCCCATCCGGTCAGATTTCCTGTGACAGTCTTAATTTTTGTTTCTTTACTATGATGTTTATAATGCTCATTCACTACTTTTTCCTCCCAATTAAATAACAAGAAAATACCTTTTGCTTCTCAAACTGATTATATAGGAAGCAAGGATTTTTTTTTTTTAATTACCATTAACTAGTATTAACCTACTAGCCTGCACCACCGCACACCAGCACCAACTGCATCCTACCACACCCAGAATGGATATATATCTAATGTCATCAGGTTCAAACACCAATATTTTCACCATTTTTCACTTATGGTGGGGATGTAAGAAGGCATTTGATAGCTGTCTTGAATCGTTAGGGTTCCAAGCTTCAACCAGTCTATTTTTCTAARCTTCATTTTACTCTAGGAAAATGTACTGATCTGCCTAAACCTCCCATGACTTTTTCCAAATCATCAGAGTTCTTTTGCCAACAGCTGCAATTACTGTGTCCCTACTATGTCAGATAGGCTGGAGGTAGTTTTTCTGCCCTATGTGAAGATCTCAGGTTAATATTCCTAGAAGTATAAAACTATGCAACATGTGTCATTTTTAAATGCCTTTTGCCCAGTAGGGTGTCATAGGCCTGTCATTCCTGCTATTTGGCAGAAGCAGGAGGATCACAAGTTGAAAATGAAAAACAAAAAGGGCTGGGGAGGTAGTGCAGTGATGAAGTGCCCCTGGGTTCTATCTCCAGTACCAGAAAAAAGATAAAATATTGCCTTTTATAGAAGATTAACATTCAAGAGACATTTATTTTCTCTTTCAGCTTTGTCTTAGACTTTCTAGAATGCTTCCCAATCACAGAATATAAAATCTAGAATATAAAATGACTAAAAGGGAGGGGAAATAACACTAGCACAGACAGTGATAAAGTGACGGAGCCCAGATTTCCTAGACGACTCACAGGGCCTCAGCACCTCTCTTTCACTACCTTCTCCTTTAACTAGCCCTCTGGATTGCCTTGAGTTCCTTTCAGAAGGAAAGGAGAACAGCAAAGCCCAGAGATAAGTCCCGAGTTCCATTCACAGTGACAGCCTGAGGTGGGGCCCAGAGCCCACAATCTGATCGATGCCTAGTGAGGTCTCTAAATGACACAACAAACTATACCACAGTGTCAAGAAAACTAGCTTGGATCTGGATGAAAACAAAACATCCAACATTCATCGTTCATCTCTCTCACTTCTATCATCAGTTCTTAATGACCTGCCGACTACCTTCAATCATCTAGTTAGTATTCTAGGGAGTTCTAAGCTCTCAGTGGACCGTTAATTTGTCCCAATTTCCTCCCAGTGCACAGTAAGTCTCTCCAAGGTCAATGACGGGCAGGAATATTCAAATCACAAAACTCTGGTGTTATGTGAGACCTTGGAAATCACCAGGTTCAACTCTTTTCAGATGGAGAAAATGAAGCTAAGAGGAGCCGGGTATGGTGGCCCATGCCTGTAATTCCAGTGACTCAGGAGGCTGGGGCAGGAGGATAGCAAGTTCAAAGCCAGCCTCAGCAACTTAGTGAGGCACTTGCAACTCAGTGAGACCCTGTCTCTAAATAAAATATAAAAAAAGGGTTGGGGATGTGGCTCAGTGATTAAGCACCCCTGAGTTCAATTCCCAGTACCAAAATAAGAAAAAAAAAAAAAAGGAGCTAAGAGAAGAAATGACAGACAGAGGTGTCAATGTTAGTAAGGGGCAGTCTGGGTTCCTCCCCAAGTCTAAGGGACAAAGTTTGTGTTCCTTCCCATCATCTCAACCACCTGCTCCTTTGTCTTTGTTTTATGCTATTTCCTTAGATGGTTGCTGATTTGATGTTTATTTGCATTTATTTAAGATAAATGATTTATCTTCATTGTTACCACAAAATATGTTCACTTACAGAATTTTTGGAAAATGCAGACTTTTTTTCTATTTTTCTCCTTATTACAGCTCACAGGAGCTTATTTGTAAGGAAAAGTATAAATAACCAGAAAATAACATAACGCATAATCCCACAACTTGGGGGTCACCATTGGCATATTCCTTCCAATCTTCTTTTCTCGACTTTTCATGTAACCATATTGTGTGGCACATATAATTCTGCTTTGTTAGTTTCACCGAGGTATGTTCCTGTTGGATTCAGACACCACTCCACCAGATTATATTTCTCTTTCTTCAGCAGAAACTCATTTGTCTGTTGAATGAGTAATTGGACACTGAAAATCCTGGTCACAGTTTCATCGTGCGGTTCTGGTGTCTTTTTGGTCTGTTTTATGGAGTTTGTTTTGAAATTATTGTGTTGCCAAGAAGCTGTATGTTCTTTCTTCTATTTGTTTACTTGGATCAAGAAAAACCTCCCACTGAAAGGCTGTCTGGCTGTGTTCTGCGCCACACAAGCCAACATCAATACATGTGGGTATTTGCWTTTGAAATAAGATGCACATTGAAAGTGCCCATTTTAAAAGAGAAAATTACACTGAAGCAAAAATAAAATTCTGCTCCATTAAAAAGGCCACAATTGAATATCATAGAGATTCAAACTTATATCCCCAAAGTAAAAGAAATAAGACCTAAAAATCCTCCCCCCTACCCTTGTTCTCAGAGGCTAGGTGGAGTCGGTTTCAATTTTTGGAAATATTTCTCCATAATCTTTACTCAGCTGTGACAAAAAGACGCTGTATAAAGATCATCCAATACTGGGCAAAGATTCATTTGTGAATAAAGATGGAAGCACGTGGTAGGACCAGGGTTAACTCCCAAGATGCTCACATTACTGTATGGCTGCAGTGGGGGGAACTTGATGGGAAAATCTGCCCCTGGAATCAACTGCACCCCGGTGGCTTATCTGCAAAGTCACCACAGGCCTGGCTTTTATCTAAGCACAAAGAATACGCTATCAAAATCCACAAATAAAACCAATTAAGCCCATCAATGAGAAGAATTCAATCTCTGCCAATATGCTATCAAGAGAYTTAAATTAGCCATACTACAATTAAAATAAAAAAAGACAGGGACTGGGGATATGGCTCTGCGGTAGAAAGCTTGCCCAGTACGCCCAAGCTGCTGGTTTGAACCCCAGCACCCCCAACCCCCAGAAAAAAGGACAACATGTGTCAAATGTATGACAAATATGGCAGTTGCTCACAGGTTTGCAGATAGCTGGGCCAATTCAACCAGAAGGAAAATAAGGCACTTGTGCTTTCGGCAGTAAGTGTTGTAAATAACGGTAAAGTTTGGGCTCTTAAAATGCTATTTTCTGAAGTCTAATCAATAAAAGGTGGCCTTTGGAAGGAAAGAAGCACCACGCTCCCTGCCAGCCAGCCAGCCAGCCAGCCAGCCATTCTCCTGACCTTTGAGGACGGCATCAGAGGTCACTCAGGAAACAGGCTGATGGCCAGCTCGCCCATGAACGCAGCAGCCCTTTGCCTCCCGGCTGAGCTGGCCAGACCGCGCTCTCTGGTTCAAACTAGAATGGCTTGTGTTACCACTCCAATCTGAGGAATGACACAGGCCCCGTGATCTCCAGACCACCCTGCCTGGGATGACACAGCTAGTRCTTCTAATGGTGCTCAAGCCCCTCCAGGACCCTGCCTGCAACCACTATAGGCACTGGCTGTTTGCAAACCAAGACTTTGCAGCTCATCCTCTTTTCCATTATGGCCACCAGGTTAGAACATCCACGTCAGAGAGATTTAGAAATACATATTTAAGAGAAAAAAGTTAAACTGAAAAAGGCTGTCTCTGCTGTTACTATTAGGTGTTGATCTGGGAGGCTAACTATACAGCCCAGTCCAGTGGAGAGTTTGAGGGTCCCAGCTCAAATAACCAGTCCTGATCTGTGAAATGGGGATGCTACATCAGCACCTAAGCTGTATTAAGGATATGGTCTGGCACAAAGAGACTCACTTGCAAGGGGAATATTAATTATAAATCACAAGTCCCTTCTCAAAAGTTTATTTTTAGAGCCACTAGTCATCTGTTTAAAATATGAATTGATTTCCTTTGTCAGGAAAATTTGTTAATTTCTTGTTCCTGATATTGCTGTTTGCTGTAGTTTGGATTGTGAGTGTCCCCCAAAGSTCTATGTGCTAAAGGCTTGTCCCCAGGGTGGCACTGCTGAGAGGTGGTAAAACCTTTAAGAGGWGGGCCCTAGTTGAGAGGTCACTAGGGATAGGCTCTTGAAGGGAAGTATGAGACCCTGCCCCCCTGTCATGTTTTCTCTTGTCTCCCAGCAGTAAGGCAGGCCAAAGCAATAGGGCCAACTGATTATGGACTGAAATCCCCCAAACTGAGAGCTACCATAAACCTTTCCCCTTTATAACTGATTATCTCAGGTATTTTGTTATAATGATGGGAAGCTGACAAACACACCATTTCCAACCAGTTTCTAAGATACCCAAAGCAATGTGTGTCACTAGAGTTTCAAAACACTTACCTGCAAGCTGTTGTTCAGTAAATCAAAGTCACTGTATCTTCTAACAATCTGTAAGAGACAAGACAACAGTGTTTTGATTCTGCAAAGACATCCCTTTCCATTGCCTTATGAACTATTTACTGGCATTCCAGTGCTGAGGACTTTATGCTAAGAGGAAGAGGACCTCTTGGTCTTCCTCTGTTTTATTTGACAGGCTCAGAAAATAAGCCCTGAGTTGGCTGGGCTATGGGAAACTGGTTAATGCCAGGCAAACTTACAAGACATTAACAAGTACATGAATTAATGATTTTCAAAATTAGTAAATAAATGAAGTTTTACTAAGCTTAGTCTCAAAAGGAAGGGTTCAGTTCTGAGGCCATATTATCCTTCCCCTGGATCAAACTCCCAAGGAGATAGCCTATCACTCTAGAGACTGGATTACACCTGCAGGAAAGACTGCCACATCTCACCTGATTTCTCAGGCTTTCCCTCTTGGCAGACAGTCCACCTTTCATTGTCTACATTMTTTCTTAGTTGTACTGATGCCATTAATCATTCCAAGGTTCTTGGTAAGGGATTATTTCACTTTTGAATAGATCCACTCTCAGCCTTTATTGGGGTTGTCAAATGTTGGTATGCAGAAGAATTGCCTGGGAATATCCAGAACCTCTCTCAGGAATAATCTAATTCAGCAGGTGTAGGGTGGGCCTAAGAGTCCATTTTCGCCCAGCACTCCCAGGCTGCTAATGGATCTAGAAAACTGTGGATCTAGAAAACTGCACCCCCGCATGATTTTTCTGGTAGGATCTTGCTGTTGGTACTGCTTGCTACATCCACATGAAAAAGTTAAATTTAAGGCCATCTCTGATAAGAGCAAAAAAGCAAAAATTGTACAGTGGCTACCCCCAGAGATTATGCAAAATTCAAACCTATTCTGCCAAACATCTAAGTGTGAACTTGGACAAGTTGCTTAAGCTCTCAAACGTAAAAAAAGGGGTAATTCTACTACACAGGACTGGTTTTAAAGGATTAAGTGAATATTAAGGCATTCGCACTTGAAGCAGTGCTGAACCCTTAATATGCTCAATAGATGTTAAATGAAATAATTATTTAAACAAACAGCAATTTAAAATTCTAGGCAAAGGAAAGATTTAAGTGTGGCCACTGTGGTCAGACTGCATGGGGAGAGACAAGAAACTGCATGAGGGGGCCTGGGGTTGTGGCTAGTGGCAGAGGCTTAGCACATGCAAGGTGCTGGGTTCAATCCTCAGCACCACATAAAAATAAAATAAAGGTATTAAAAAAAAAGAAAGAAAGAAACTGCAAATRGTGGAAGATCAAGTTCAAGCTGAGCTCTGAAGGACAAGTTTACATTTTTGGAAAGAGGTGGAATGGTACATGTAACTATTAAAACAACAGAGGCTGGGGACGTAGCTCAGAGGTAGAGCAATTGCCTAGTATGTCCAAAACCCAACATTGCAAAACCAAGACAGAAGCAAACAGGAAAGAAATGGCCCCATTCAGAACGACAAGTCAACTGGAATGGGAAAGACTTCTAGATCTGTCTAGGAAGTGTTTTCTCTCTGAAGCCACCACTGGGGACAGAAGAGCTGGGGGCTCCAAGAAGACCCTCCCTTACRGACAGTGGGGGAGCTAGCACTAGGAGTGGCCCAGGAGTGGACTTGGGCATCCATGAAATGCAGTGACCTAACCATACAATAGTCAGGACACTGACTCCCCTTTCTGTGAACTGAACTCCCTCTAACCCCACCCACCTGAATCATGGCTGTAGGGGTCCTGCTTCTTCTGGTTTGAGCCAGAAAACAAATTCCTAGATATTCTTCCTAGCAACCCTGTATATAATATAACCAAACAACTGGAAACAGAAAAACTTTTTATGATACTTGTTTTAAAGTCAAAGGTTTCCATTAGGGTAGAGGAAAGGGACCCAAGAGAGAGGATGGGAGGATAAGGGGAAGTACTTATGTTATATGCATATCTGAATATTCCACTATGAAACTCACTATTCCGAATAATTAATATGTAGCAATAAAGAAAAAAATTTTAAATGAAGGAAAGCTAACAGCTTATAGCTAAAAGAATATGATTTATATTTATGAATGTTCTGATTTTTCCAGTTTTTAGATGGCCTAAGTCAGGGTTTTGGTGACAAGTTCAAACCTATTTCTAGTTGATAAAAAGTGCTTACCTGCCAGCTGTTTTCTGCAGAAATTCCTCTTTGCACCCGAATGATATATTCCTAAAGATGGGGGAGAGAGGAAGAGCCTCAGTTATAAAACCATAGAATCAGAAACAAGTAAAAATATCAAATAAAGTAGACTTCAGAGCAAAGAAAACAACAAGTTGAGCTATTGCCTGCAAATCTAATATCCAAAATCCGAAACTTTTTGAGCATCACCATAATGTTCAAAATCTTTCTGCTTATTGAACAGGAGATATAGTTCAGTGGTACAGAGCTGGCCTAGCATGGGCAAGTCCCAAGGTTCAACATCAAGCACTGAAAAAGAGAGCGAGCCAAGTGCAGAAGGGCATGCCTATAATCCCAGCAGCTCAGGAGGCTGAGGCAAGAGGACTGCAAGTTCAAAGCCAGCCTCAGTGACTTAAGGAGTCCCTAAGCAACTTAGTGAGACCATGTCTCTAAATAAAATATAAAAAAAAATGGTAGGGATGTGGCAGGAAGAATTAAACAGAAAACCAGTTAAGATATAGAAAAACCTAAGAATATGGTCAACCAACTGGATTTAATTAGCATTTGTAGAATACTCCATCCAATAACAGAAAATTACACATTCTTTTCTTTCAAGTGACCGTGCAGCATAACCAATACAGACCACATCCTGAGCCTTAAAAAAAAAAAAAAAAAAAAACCTCACCAAGCTTAACCAACAACAAAGATAAAAGGAAAAATCTCCAAACAGTTTAAAACTAAATCACATACTTCTAAATAATCCATGGGTCAAAGAAATCTCAAGAGAAAAACAAACAAACAAACAAAAAACCCACTGAACAGAAAAATAACACAATGTTTGGGCTCAGAACAAGACACCCCAAATTATGGTGCCTTGCTGTACTAAATACTTTGAATTGAGGGAAATGACCAGAAGCAAAATCTGTCTCCTGCCCTTTTCCTCCCCCAGGGGAGGCCACAGAAACTAGAGCCCCTCTCCTCCAAAAGCCAGTTATAAAACCTAAAAATATTACACCACTCTTCCCCTAAATGTTTGTGTGGCTGTAAAGAAATTCTTTGATCTACCTTGTCTAATAATAGCTCACAAGACCCTCATGTCAGAAGGGTTCAGCTCTTGACCTGGGAGGGAGGAATGCCACTGAGAAAGGCTAAGAAGGATCTGAACTAAGCCTTGCAGGGCTTTCCCATTTAGTCTTATACCATAGAACATATATGTCCAATCACATGCATAAATGGCTATTCATTCTTCATTGAACCTAATCATAAAAATAGTTCTGATAGGCACAATGGCCCATGCCTGTAAACCCAGTGACAGGAGGCTGAGGCAAGAGATTGCAAGTTTGAGGCCAGCCTCAAAGACTTAAAGAGACTCTATCTCAAAAATTTTAAAAAGGGGTGGGGATGTAGCTCAGTGATAGAGCATCTGGTTCTATCCCCTGTCCTAGTGTTGCGGGTAGGGGAAGAGTTTCCCTTGAGACTTTGGGTCTTCATTTTTCCGAAGGCTCCAGTGTCATGTAAAAATGATTAAACAAATTTGTTATGTTTTTCCTATTAATTTGATTTGTCAGTTTCTTCAGACATAGTCARGAACTCTAGGAGAGCTGAAGAAACTTTTCCTCTGCTACAACAATAGAGCAAAATTTAGGAGACACAGCTCAAGTAGTGCTAAAAGGGAAATTTAAGCACTAAATGCTTTTGTAAGAAAAGAGAAAAGTATCACATCAATACTCCAAGCTCTGCCCCAAGAGCCTAACAAAGGATCATAATCAACTTGAAGCAAGGAGAAGGAAGAAAATAAAATACAGATAAAAGCAGAAATCAATGAAATTTGAAAAGAGAAAACCAGTGAAATTAAAAACCAATTCTTTGACAAAACCAAAAACTTGACAAACTTCTAATAAAGCTGACAGGAAAGAAAGGTAAGACACAAATGACAGACATCAGGAATGAAACAGGCTGTCACTCAGACTCCAGACTCTGCAAGGATCAGAGGGTGACATGAACACATCTACCCACGGAAATTCGACCACTTAGACGAAACAGACCACTTCCTCGAAACCACTAAGGACCACAACTCACCAATATGAAGTGGATAAATTTGCTATCTTTATAACTAATAAGAAAGTTGACCTCATAATGTAAAAACTCCCCCCAAAGAATTATCTCAGCTTGAAGCTTTCATGGGAGAATTCTGCAAATGTTTAAAAATTCACACCAATTCTACACAAATGCTTCTGGAAAACAGATGTGGAAGAAGTAGTTCCCAATTTATTTGATGAAGCTAGTATTACCCCACCTCAAACTAAAGATGCTACAAAAAAAGAACTATAGACCAATATCATTCATGAACATGGGCTCAAAAATCCTTACCATTTTTTTTTTTTTTGGTACCCGAGATTGAACTCAGGAGCACTTTACCACGGAGCCACATCCCCAGCCCTATTTTGTATTTTTTTGTTTAGAGACAGAGTCTCACTGAATTGCTTAGAGCCTTGCCCTTGCTGAGACTGGCATTGAACTCATGATACTCCTGTCTCAGCCTCCTAAGCCTCTGGGATTACAGATATGTGCCACCATGCCTGGTCTTATCAAAATATTAGCAAATATTAGAACTTAACAATATGTAAAAAGAGATCTGGGGAAGTAGCTCAATGGTAGCGCACTTGCCTAGCATGTAAAGAAAATATATGTGTACATATAGACAGATATACATATATTATACGAGCTTATTCCAGGGATGTAAAGCTGATTCATTATTCAAAAATCAATCAATATAATCTGCCATAATGAGCTGAAGAAAAAAATCACAACTCARATGAAACAGACCACTTCCTCGAAACCACTAAATATGAAGAGGATAAATTTGCTATCTTTATAACTAATAAGATGATGCAGAAGCTGGGCATGGTGGCACATGCCTATAATCCCAGCAACTTTGGAGGCTGAAGCAGGAGGGTTGCAAGTTGGAGGTCAGCCTCAGCAATTTAGCAAGGCCCTAAGCAATTCAGAGAGACCCTGTCTCAAAATGAAAAATAAAAAAGGGCTGGGATGTGGTTCAAGGATTAAACACCCCTGGGTTCAATCCCTGGTACCAAAAAAGAAAAAGAAAGATACAGAAAAACTGTTTGACAAAATTCAGCACCCTTTCATGATAAAAACTTTCAGAAAAATAGGAATAGAGGATAACTTTGTCAATCTGATAAAAAGCTTCTACAAATCTCCTAGAGATAACACACTGGATGGTGAAAGACAACATTTCCCCCTAAGATAGGAACAAGGCAAGATGTCTGTGCTCACTGTTCTCATTCAACACAGTTCCAAAAAGTATATGGGTCAAATGGAAGAAATAAACAGGTTCTATTTGCAGGTGGCATGAAAATATATGTAGAAAATCTCAAGGAATCTACAAAAAACTTCCTTGAACTAATAATTAATTTTAACAAGGCCTCAGGGTACAAAAGTCCTTTGCATCAATAAATAAGTATATGCTGGGTGTAGTGGCACACCTGCAATCCCAGTGGCTAGGGAGGATGAGGAAGGAGGATTTTGAGATCAAGGCCAATCTTAGAAATTTAGTGAGACTCTAAGCAATTCAGTGACACCCTGTCTTTAAATAAAAAATAAAAATTACTGGGGTTGGGGCTCAATGGTTAAGTATCTCTGGGTTCAATTCCTGGTACCCTCCTCCCCAAAAAAGTAAGTATATGAATATCCATTATATATCTATATTCATAGCAGTTTGACTACTGATAGTGCCCAAGCAGAAACAGACAGACCTTTCTCAATGGGTGGTTAAATTCTGCTATATCCATACCATGGAATACTACACACAAACATGAATGAAATATTGATACACACAACTTGGATGACTCTCCAGAGAATTATGCTGAGTGAAGAAAGCCAATCCCATAATGTTATATCTGAATGATTCCATTTATATCATTTTCTTGAAATCACAAAATTATAGAGATGAAGAACAGAGTAGTGGTTGCTAAGAGTTAAGGTGAGGATAGGGGCTTGGTGGGTGAGGGAAGTGGATGTGTCTGTAGAAGGACCAAATGAGGGATGGCAATGTTCTCTATTTTGCATCGATGTCAATATCGTGATTGTGTATCATATTATAGTTTTTGGAAGATGCTATCATTGGGAGAAATTGAAGTATATGGGTATATGGATCACACTGCATTATTTCTTATAGCTGCACATGAATCTATAATTATCTCAAGTATAAAGTTTAATTTAAAACTAAGCAAAATGCAGACATTCAAAACTAGATGTCTATTAGTCAGAAGACTATGATTTTTAGTGTTCAAAGTATGCATTTTATATCCAGTCAGCTATGAAAGACTATGATTAACAAGTAAAAAGATATAATAGATATGCACCAAGGCCATTTCCCGAAGAAAACAAATCTCCTGACCCTCAAACCTGCCCAATCATAAAAATCATCAGGCAAGGTGGTGTATTTGAATATATTCCCAGGCCTGCATCAAATCTGTTAGATCAGAATCTCTAGGAAACACACACACACACATACACACACACACACACACAACTTAGGTATTAGAAGTTTCAATAGCCTCCCCAGGTAATTCTTATTAATAAATAAGCAAGAAACCTAGACTCAGTACAATCTCCTACAGAGACAAACAAGGATTTCACAAGGTATGGATTAAATCATATAAAGAATGTTAACATTTTTTTCTTCAAATGCTCAGAATTGTTATACTAATTTTAGGTGGAATGAATTAGGCATTACTTAGTCACTACTCAACAAATGTTCAATACAGTACTCCACAAATCTTTTCTACTGAATTAATCTCACTGACTTAAGTAGATTATTTAGAAAATAAAGCCAAAGAAGCATTGTTAACCTGGCAACTGGATTTTAAAACTGACCTTATTACACTACCATTCATTTCCATTCTATCGGCAAAGGCTGATAAAGTCCACAGAAGCATAAACTCCTGCCTATACGTGAAGGACAGTATAGCCAGGTACAGTGGCAATCCCAGTGACTTGGGAGGCTGAAGCAAAAAGTCAGCTTCGAG